TCGCCCGGCGAAGAATGGCATCCGAAGGAGATTAAAAGCGCTCGTAATTCAGCCGAGTAAAAAGCCCGAATTGTCCGACTTCGACTTTGACATCCTTTTCACGTTCGACTGGCGACCGGTTTTTGCAAACGTCGCATGTTCGAGCAGGGGGGATCCCGATAAACGGCAGCGGAGCTGAAATTCCAGAAATTCAATTCGCAGCCCTGGGGCGTCCTGGATGTCTTCAGTCGTCTGCAACGCGTGCGGCTTATTTGAATCTCCTTCCTCGGGAAAAATCAACTCTCTACGTAAATCCGCAGGTGAAGTACTCGAGACACCTCAAAACTCGCAGGCTCGTGTATCCCGCTCAGGTAGGATACGTTGAGGAACGCGTGTACACGTTCAGCAAAGCGGTATTCGTGACTAGGATGACCTTCACCCTTGCCTGGTTTCAGTGACTGGTCATTTCTCTCGTAATGGCCAACGAGCGTCTTGAGTCGGTAATCCAGCCGGTCTGCGCGCTGAAGTCTTGGAGATGCTGAGGAGAATAAGAGGGCCGCGCGCAGGGATAAGTGGCGGGATGCCGCGGCTTCTGCGGTTCACCTTATGCACGAGGCGGAAAATAGCGGTAACCGCAATCTGAGCTTGAAAAGTGTGCGGCTGAATCTCGAACGCGCGCTCGCGGTACGTCATTAACCTTGGAAGCGCTAATCTTTCCTCGACGGTTACGTACATTTTTTTCTCAAGATGTGCCGGTTGCTCCTTGCAGACAGCTGGTGTTTCTAGCGTCGTAGAGTTTCGCTGTGTTTCTACAAGCGACAAGAGAACCTTCGCGATATTTTGCGGCTCGACGCTTCGCGAATTTGTTCAACGGCTCGAGTCGAATTTTAAGCCCCTACTGAACTCTCTAACATCTATAGATTCTGGAAGATCAATAGAGGTTTAATTTATGTAGAAATCAAAGTCCATTCAAACTTGAAATGGCAGAAAATGCGCAATTTGCTGCTTGCAGGTTCTTAAAGCGAAGCTGGATTAAGTAGATTCAAAATAGGTTGATGTAGGATTTGATATCAAATTGAATTGGAGTCAAAAACGGGATCAAAATTTCTGGAATATCAAAAAAATTGGCATTCTATATCCATGGAGCAAAAAATTGTTAGAGCCATCCTTATGAGGCATAAGGCCCCCGAAAATAGGATGCCCTAAAAAAGGATGCCTCCTTATTATCACATCAGGCCCTGAGATGGATCTTTTAGAGATACTTTAAATTTTACGAAATAAGGTTTTGATAGGAAAAGCTTTAGAAGGATTTTTCGGGACGCTTTAGATTTAATGAATAAGGCTTTGATAGAGAAAGCTGAGAAGGGCTTTTTAGGGATTTTTTAGGGATACCTTAGATTTTAGGAAATAATAACGCTTTAACATGAAAAACTGATGTGGGCCTTTTAAGGATGCTTTAGATATACAAAATTAAGTTTTGTTGTGGAAAATTAATAAGATCTGAAGCATTTAATAAAATTGTCACAGTTTAGTATTGTTTTAGTAAGTACGCTCTAGCTGGTTCTTCTATTCTAAAAGTGTCCTCTCGGCAAAGCTGTGGGTTAAATACAGACAAAATAATGGGACGAAAATTCGAATTATCGAAAGAATATCCGACGAATGTCTTCTCTTACGATCGAAAAATTATACTTTCTGATTACTTTCCGGCGCTGCAGCAACGCGATTTCCAGAAACATGACAACCGAGTTCCCGATATTCTGTCAAGCGACGCGTTAGCGTTCCGCTAAATCGAACGGCATACTTCGCTCGAGGAAGAATACTCGACGCTTCCCGCAACGTGAGGCCCGAGTCCGAGAAAGTATCCGCGACCCATCTTCGTGACGACGAAGTTTTACGATAACGCGCTTGTGCTGGCGTACTGGATGTTTCGTAGCTCTATGCGAGACCTTAAAAGTTTCATCCCGCATGATAGAAGCGCATGCATCCTAATCACTTTCACTCGCTGCTTATTACCGCTCGCGTACTCGAAGTGAAGGTTGAGAAGGAAAGGACACGGAATACACATCACCTTCTTGACCTTGACAGACATCGAGACGGACGTGAAATCCGCGAAATTAAACCGCTAGGAAACCCGTCCAGGGTAGGAGACCCTTTGCGCCTCGTCGCGATATTAACGCGAATTATCTGAAAAATGTTTTCGTTCCCGCGGAAAAACGCCGCGCGCTCGCGATTGTCCTCGATTTCCATCCTACTCGACATCGAAAGGGACTCGCGACTCGCGAGCGGATGCCCTCGACCACATCCTAAATGCACAGGACGCGTCATCGAGTCGAACACGCGTTCCGCATCGTCCTTAAGAACGACTCATCTCGCGACGATGAAACATTGACACAATTCCGCGCCCCGCGAGACGGCCGATGTCGGCTGAATTTAAATACCTTTCACCGTCGGTACGCGCGATCATGTAACACTTCACGTAACACGTAATAACCGGATCTGGGGCAGACACGCTCGTTCGGGGACGCTCGTAAAAATCGTCTCAGTCTTCCGCGAGGTGGACTGCCGCGGCCGGAGGAAAGAGAAAAAAGAAAAGAAAAGGAGAAAAATGCGGCTCTCGGCGCGCCCGGTCGCGCTTATAAGGGCCGGGCGCTGCTGGCGAAGGTGTTAGAGGGAGAAAAGAAACAATTGAATCTATTTACAGCGAATGAACGTGAGAACGGAAACGGACGCCAGAGGTGGCGCAAATGAAGCTTTATTGTTAAGGAACGGCAGGAAGAGGCATTATCGTAAGAAGGAAGTTGGCGGGTAATGAAGCGACGCGCGTCGGACCGAAAATTGCGAAACGGGTCGCGCCGCATTATCGGGCCTGGCGGAGCGCACTGGCCGATTTCGGCCGGAACGGTCATAGCTATCACGTTATGTGTTAATTCGTACCACGTTAAAGAGTCAATTAGCTGGCTCAAAAATATGCGCTAATTGCGCACTCGCGTGTATCACGGCCGAACGCTGTAATGCGCGCGTCCTATCGATCGGATTTGACCGCCGGCTGTTTTTGCTTTCGTCTATTCGCCACCGTTATTATCTTTTGTTCTCACCTCCTCCCCCCATCTCTCCCTCTCTCTCTCTCTCTCTCTCTCTCTCTCTCTCTCTCTCTCTCTCTCTCGTGTCTTTCGTTTCTAACGCAATTTTTAAATCCGACGGTACTCCGTACTTGCGGTTTCTCGAGTCGCGCGCACGGCTCTTTTAGGCGAAGATAACGAACAAGGAGCTGAGCTGTACTTGAGCGAAAATGGAAAATGACATGTAAATCGAAACGGCGCCGAGCCTTCGCTTCGCATGCATATACAGAATATAATTGACATCGCTCTCCCACTTGCTCGGCGAAGGTCGTCCGAAATGCGCTACGCACAAAGAGACTGGAGTGTAAGACGTTTTGTACGAGGGAAAATATATTCCAGCGTCTTTCCCACTGTTCGAGTGAGATACTACAAATCCTCGAGCAAAAGTGTTCACAACAATTAACGAAACAACGTCCCTCTTCGAAAGGATCCAATTCCTGATGCTACGATCGTCCGCTCGGTGTTCAAAAAAAAAAACATTCCATCTACAATCCATATCAGACCAGGTACTGAGGACTTAAAATTAGAGACAAATCGATCGATTTCAATCCCGGCTGGCGCTTCGTTTCAGCGATTGCTCAGATCGTGGAGTCTTCCGTCTGCGATCTGCAAAATCCAGTTTTCAGCTTAATCTTTTATATCCTGACGGCATTTAAAAGTGCCACTCTATATAAACATTCATGTTTTTCAATTTTTTTTCTGTGTCTTACTGCATGTCTATCGATATTTGTAAGCATCATCTTAAAATCAGGAAATTGTTATAAAATTAATTTTCCTGTTCCTTATGTTTATAAAATGCCAAAAGCTATTTAATAAGAAGGTCCTGGGTAAATTAATTCACAGGGTTATAAATAAATAAATAAATAAATGAATCATAAAATTGTTGCAAAATTAATTTTCCTATTCCTTATGTTTGCAAAATGCCAAAAGCTATTTAATTACACACAAACTTGACAAGAAAACCCTAGGTAAATTAATTCAGAGAATTATAAATAAATATATCAAATATATGAAATTGTTACAAAATTAATTTTTCTATTTTTTATGTTTACAAAATGTCAAAAGCTATTTAATTACACACAAACTTGATAAGAAGGTCCTACGTAAATTAATTCACAGGGGTATAAATAAATAAATAAATAAATAAATATATAAAGAAATTGTTACAAAATTAATGTTCCTATCCTTTATGTTTACAAAATGCCAAAAGCTATTCAATTGCATACAAACTTGATAAGAAGGTCCCAGGTAAATTGATTCATAGGGATATAAATAAATAAATAAATAAATAATTAAATCAAGAAATTGTAACAAAATTAATTTTCCTGTTCCTCATGTTTAAAAAATGTCAAAAGCTATTTAATTGCACACAAACCTGATAAGAAGGTCTTGGGTAAACTAATTCATGTGGATATATAAATAAATAAATAAATAAATAAATCATGAAATTGTTGCAAAATTAATTTTCCCATTCTTTACGTTTACAAAATACCGAAAGCTATTTAATCGCACACAGCTTAACAAGAAGGTCTCGCATAAATTAATTCAGAGAGTTATAAATAGATTAATAAAGGGGTATAAAGCTGCAATTTTGCGGCCGGCACTCGCGGAGCGATCTAAATATCGGGAAATATCGACCGCGGGGCCCGCGGGGCTCGCAGGAAACACGGGGTCCTTATCAGACCTGCAGGACGGACCACCGCGAAGTAAAACGCGTCCCACCCGTACGGAGCGCACGCACGCACGCACGCACTCACGCGCTCCCTCGTCGCGACGTACGCACGTACGAGCGCACATGCGAGCCGCGTTCGCACACGCGCTCTCGCGGTCGCGCGATCGTTCGCTCCCTCGCTCGCTCGGCCGTTCGCTCGCTCGCTCGCTCGCTCAGCGCGAGCAGATTCGAGATTTCAGCCGCAGTCGTAGACGCTCGGTGGCCACGACCAGATCGGGGCCCCGGCACGAGAGGTCCCGCGTGCACAACGAGCCGCGCTCGTCGATCGCGCTCGAGATCGATCGATAGGTCGCGCCGGCGGCGGGGTCGCCCAAGTGTCGCACCACTTTCCACCTGGACAAGACGCGTGCGCGCGCGCGCGCGCGCGCATGTCAGCGCGTAGCCGAGGACGCGCGTCGTAATCCGCCGATCGATCGATCGGCCCGGCAAGTCGGTCGGCCGGCTGGCCGGTCGGTCGGTCGATCGATCGATCGATCGACTCGCGATCCAGCGCGATCCGACACACCGCGTCGGCCGCATCATCCCCCCGCGACTCGGGAGTTCCATCAGCGCGCAGCGGACGGACGAGTTGGCCGAGGGGCTGAGGGTGACGGGGACGAGGGTGAACAGGAACTCGATGTCCGGCTCGTTATCGATCGATCGGTCGACAGCCGGGAGATGGATGCAGCCGCGAAAGATCGCCGTGGAGATTCCGTGGCGGCATAGATCGATCGGTGCGACGATCGTGATACCTGCTGGTGTACAGTCGGTGCGCGCGAGTCTGACGCAGCCGCTCGTCGTCTGGGTCGTCGCCGACCTCGCGGCGGACGATCGTCCGAGATAGCCGCGCGAGCGCGTTCGCGCGCGCGCACGCAAATTGGCCGATTTCCCTTGGCCCGATGACACTCTCCTCCGGGGACTCCTCGAAGGCGAAGACAGCCGGACACCCGCCGGGACTTCCGGGCAGACGACGAGCTGAGGAGGCGACGACGAGGATGGTCCGAATGCGCGGCGCATAAGGGTAAGATCTTGTCATTCGTCACCGCGCGCGGAATGTGTGACCGGTTCGGTGAAGGTGGAGGACGGGCCGGGGGGAGGGGAGGGGAGGGGGGAAGCGCTCTGGAGACTTGTGCGGGATCGGGCGGATTGTTTCCCGGCGACTCGCCGATGACAAAATTCGCCGCGATGACGCGGCGCGGCGGTGGGCTCGCAAGGAAAATGAGACAACCTCGCTGAAAGACGGGCGGTGTCGCAACGCGCGGCGTTGGATTTTCCTGCAGCGTTGATGCGCGGCGGTCCACGTATCGCGCAGCCGCGATTAATAACACGAGAGTCATTTGTAAAAAGGCGATAAGAGCCGCTCGCCGCGTGGGTCTGAACGAGAGAAGTGCGAGAGCGTCCTTTGTCCCGTGCTCGATGCGCGACATATATCTCTCCCGTTCGCGTCGCCATTGGCTGCGCGTCGGCCGCGCTGAAATCCAAGGTGTTTCCGCTCCCATCGTCCGCGAAGCCACCTTCGCGAACTCCGGCGAAGTCTCGTGACGAGAACCGCTGCGATCCAGCCGAAACGCACGCAAGGTAGGAATCATCAAGCGGCGACAAAGGCTGCGAGCCGTCGAGGCGTCTTCGGCGTCACATTTGCGCAATCGGCGAGGGGGGCGAGGGAGTGTTTTACGGCACCGGCTCGTGGTGATAATTGGGGGGCGAACGTTCCTCGCGCGACATTTCGCTTCGACGGCGACGGCTCGGCGGTGGAAAGTCGCGATCTGCGGCGCAGAATCGGCCTGCCGACCGGTAGAGGCGGATTAAGCTGGACCTCCTTTCAGGAAGAGAACTTATCGGCGATAATGATACGCGCGTACCCGCGAAACACGCTCCGCTCCGCGCGTGTCGGTTTACTCAACATCGCGTTATTCAACATCGCGGCCCGCTCGCCGCGCGCCGCGCCGCGTCGCGCATTCCGCGCAAAATCGATCGCCACGCTATCCGGATTATTTGCGCTAATCGCGATTCAATGCGCTCCGTTTGTTTCATCGGTCGGTGAGCAGCTTGCGCGCATTCATATAATTGCGCAGCGGCGAGTCGCGAAAATCCAATCGAATCCGTCAGATATTTATGACGTTATATTCGCGGTCCGCCGAAACGCGCGCGCAGCCTTCTCGCTTCTCGTGACGTCGCGTCGCGAGAGCAACGTTCGCACGCGATGCACCATGGCGTTTCTTTTCTTCCTCTCCTTTTCCCGCGCAACGCGAGGAGAGAGGAGGCGGCTGAAACAAAGATGTAAATCTGTATCATGCACGCCTCGCGAGTGATCGCGGTTGAAGACAGCGCGCCGAGCAGCGTTACGTTTTTCCATGTCGCAAGCGACGGCAGCCCGATAAAGATAAGTAAGGCACGACAACGTTGCAACGCGTGCGCGCGAGGAAGTTTTACAATATGGTAAATTATCATCTGAAATGCACAGACTTGTCCGTACGCTCGCAATCGCGCCTCTGTGCTGTGCAATAATCATCGCGAGCGAATTCAGGTCGGCGAGACAAAAACGCGATTTTCTCGTGCGAGACTTAATGATGGCTTCCCCGAGCGATGGATATTATTACGAATGGATATTATCTCTCTCTCTCTCTCTCTCTCTCTCTCTCTCTCTCTCAGCGATATACATTTCGCGACCGATTGCAGCGTGTGCCAATCGCAACCGCTGTCGCGCGTTGCGGCGACACTTCTCCCCTCGTCGTTTTGACGACGACGAAACGATGACGAAAGCGCCGGTAGGTGCTCGCGCCATTTCCACAGCGGGCGAGAGAAGAGAGCAGCGCGCGACGGGCGGGGAGAAATGAAGCGCAAAATATTTAGCAATCGCGGGCCGGCCAGGCCGAAGAGGACAGGGGCTCGCGGCAGAAAGTGCCGTTTGCGACGACGGCAGCCTTGGACTCGTTGTACTTAGGGAGCCGGGGAAGTTTGTGCTAGAGTCGCGCCGTGACTCGAAAGAATCGCATAATGCGCGATATCCGCGCCGTGAAAACATTAACCTTCGCGCGCTCGAGTGCCGCGGATCGCTTTTTGCCGAGCAACCTCCGCAAGCATCGAGAGCACATGAGAGTATGCGCGCGCGCGCGCTCGCTTCGTATCGATCGCGCTGGGAAAAGCTGAGACGAGGGCCTGAGACGTTTCCAAGTGCGTCGACTCCGTCGCGGGAAATGAGCGGTCGAACGGAGAAACGAGATTCGGCGATAAGCGCGTCTCCGCGCGACTAATCGCGTATGCAACCTTCAGCAGGTGAAAGCAGCGCGAGCGCGTCCGTGTGCGCCGCCGCTACGTGCCTCGCACATACGCACGCACGCACGCACGTACGCACGCACGCACGCACGCGTCGCTCTGACGAAACGAGGCAGACAGGATTGCTCGCCGGTCGATTTATTTATAAACTCGCGCCGGGCGAAAAAAGCCGTAGTTTCTCATTGCGATCAATTACCCGGGCCCGAAGGGGCATCCCCTTTTTCATATATCAGCCGCCCGCATCTGCCGAGCACGTGTGGGAGCTCGGATCTGTTCGAGCGCGATCCGCTCGAGCGATACGCTCGAGCGAGGATGCAGCGATTTGGTCGCACCTTTCGAAAGTGCGCGGCGCGTCGTCGGCGGGCAAACCGTCGCGGTGCGTGACATTTCGGCCGGGCGCGTGTTTAAACGCCAAACACGAGCGCGCGCGACAAATTGCCTCCTGCGCCGGGCTATTATAGTTTGCTATGGTCGCGCTATAGTCGCGTAGAATCGCCGCGAGCGAATCGCGGACACCTCGTCGCTCTCAGCGTTCCCAGCGCGATCTACGTGGCGATCTGCGAAGGGGAAAAAAGGGAACGCGCGCGCGCGTGAGAAAGATGCATTTGTCGCAGCTGATTCGCGCTCCAGAAATCGCGCCACTTTCGAGGCTGTCGAAGCGAGCGGGGCTTGTTTGCCCGCGCGAGCGCGGTGAATGTCGAGCTGGCGAGCCGCGCGCGTTAACAGCTGATTCACCACGTGTCTCGCGCCGGCGTCTTGCGTTACGTCAATTCCGCGGCGAGGCACACACAAGTGTCCACTTGCCGAGGAAACTCCTCCGGAAAGGTAAACAGACGTGTATCGTCCGACGACTGTAAGTACAAACTGCATCGCCGAGATAAACAGGAAGGGAAAGAGAGAAAGAGAGAGAGAGAGAGAGAGAGAGAGAGAGAGAGAGAGAGAGAGAGAGAGAGAGAGAGAGAAAGGCTCTCGCGGTGGACATATCACTGTGAACGATCACCGCTTGGCACGAGGCGAAATTTCTCAGCCGGACGCGCGCTTTCCATCGCGCGAAATGGCAGACGTGTCCGCGAATTATCATTAATATATTCGCGTTATGAATTAGCTGGCACGCGCGATGCCAGATGAAACGTCCAGCACGAGTCTTTGGAGCTCCCGCGCCACGTCGTTGGAGTGAAATTTTATTTCACTTCACAACGAGGGGATTCGGTTTGCATCAGCAATCCTCAACCCACCCGCCCACCCATCCGTACCTCAACTCTCATCAAATGTTAGTGTCAATTTGACCTTTCTGAAGGTTATTTAAGTAGAACTTTTTTTTTCCGCGATCCGACCAATTTCATCTTTTGCCATCCGGCTCTATTAAATGTCACCGTTACTTTGTTAAAATTAAATTGAATTTAATTAAACCTGTTTTATTATCTGTAAAATTAAATTAAAATTAAATTAGAAATAAAATTTAATCAAAGATTAAATTTTACGCGTAAAACTTCAATTAGCATATCGATTTACTTGCAGAAATGAATATTCAGAAAGAAGTAATTTCAGAATAAGCGGAATTGTTTAAATTTTAGAGGATTTTATTTTTATATATGGCCTCAAAAAGATTTCTCTAAAATTAAGAAGAAGATATTATAAACATATTATTCTTAAAGTTAGAGGGATTATATTATATATGTAATGCAAATCTTATTGATTTTAATATAAATTTCCTCTTATACACAGATTGTTTAATCCTTTTTTAGAGAATTATTATTTATCCTTACTGTACTTTATTCTTACTGGTTATTATATTGGTTAATTTGAAAAAATATAATGTATAGCGAAAAGTAATATATATATATATATAGATGTACTTTTGGCTTTAGTTTTACAATAAGTAGGCACGAATGAAATAGGATTATCATAACAAATAAATTTTCAATTAATTTTGTTATGGACTTCATAGTTACAAAGGTGTTTATCATGATCAATTGTATGAAACGTAGTTAAAAGAAAGAATATATTATTTAACTTCTTACAATAAATTATAAATTGTATTTGACCAAATATGGATAAATTATCTTCGTTATATATTACAGCAACACACACACCTTTTTTAAAAAGCGTTCCAAATATTCTGATCCATGAACATATGGTTATTTTTTTCGTTCATGTCTGTAGGTAGTGCATGACTGAACAAAAAAAGCCGACATTCAAATCAACATATTTCTCTTCACACAAGAGGAAATTAATTGATATAAGAGGAAATCCTCTTGAAATAAGAGGAAAATAGTTAGAATAACTAATAAATCTAATAAATTTTTGATGAATGATTCACTTTAATCGCTTTATCGCAAAAGGAATTTTTTCCTGTAAAAGACTTCGCTTAGAATATAAGACTATAAGAAAAATCACTTTACAAAAATAAAATACTTTTTTTTGGGTGAATTGATTCTAACATCGGATTTGAATTTTCAAGGTTAAAGTCCCAACTTAATATCACAATCTTTCTCCTCGAGATACCATCACAGCAATGTTGTATATAATATTTTTTATACCTATTTAGATATCAACATCCTGTCATATGCCAACTATTCCACTTTCACTTGTATTCCTCTTCGCTCGTTCTCACCTCAGCCTTAACGCCGCGTCGTTATTATTCTTCCGCGTGTTCCCGCCGAATTCGCCGAAGCTCTCGCCGTTATCTTCCGCGGCGAATGCTAATTCCATCGTGACGAACGCGCGAACGACGACGCGTTTGCG